GGGACATGGTTTTCTTTTCAGCTTTAATTGTCAATTAACAGAAGACTACAAAATTTAAAAAAAAAAAAACTATAACTGATTTGTAGCATTTAAATAAAACCCACATCTCCAATAATTATATAACTTATTCTAGCATCCGTTGCTTAAGAAAGCATTTATTTTTGTTTTGATAATTTAAAACACAAATAAATAGCTCTTCATCAGACAAACCATAAAAAGAAATAYCAGTGTTCCATAACTGTGCATTTACAGTATTGCATATTATCAATCACTGATTGCAATAAGAAAGAGAAAAGTAGCATTTGTATGAATAACTAGTAAAATTCTCATTAAGGGAATACTGTGACATTTTGAGAAATGTGGTTATTTCCTCTATTCCAAATAGTTAGGGGAGACAATCAGTCACCTCATTTAATACCTTGGAAAGCCTTATATTAATTCTTTCACCAAGATTTATGCTGAAGACACAGATATCCATTTTGATATCCAGATACCATTTTGTTTTGCCTCATTATCTACTTGCAGAAAATAAATAAAATGCCTTTACTTGTTTCAAAAGGGAGAAAGCTTTCAAAAAGGATAAGGAATTCAATACATCTTTAAAGGCAAACTAATTGAAAATGAAAGTGGCAGAAGAGATATATAGGTTGTATTATTTTTAATGGAGAACTGAAGGAATAGAATTAAACTAAATTTCACTTTTGGTAACACTAATCCATTCATTTAAAAGCTTTCTGAAATTAGCATTTTTCATTCTATGCCTTCCACCTCATATGAACAACTTCTTAGTCCAGAGAACATGCTGACAAATGAGCCTAGTTCTTGTTTTACTTATATTTTTAAGGGAGTGTTGGTTTTTGTTTTGAGACTTAATCAATGATTTTTTTCTTAATTCACAGAGCATGAATCTGCCGATCTATAATTCACCAAATTTCTAGTTTATTACCCTGTTCAGTGAATGTAGTCACAAACCATTTTTTTATTTCTTCAAGAACTACTTGGAGAAATCTTTGAAGTTTTGTTAATGTTTTATCATTTATATATTTGTAAATGTACAATAAATCCAACATATAGAAAGCAGCACTGTTGCAGAAAATACAGTTAAAAAGTCTTAATCTGACATCAAAATAAACCATTCCTATTTTATAGCAGTTATTTGTTAAATGTCCAAAGAACAAGATACTTTTTAAAGAATTGTTTACGACTTTTACAAAATCAACAGTTTACATACACTTTATATACACTTTTAAATGATTTGGGAAAGCACAGATATTGTGACTTTGGAAGCGTTAGTTGACAACATTTGGGCTAATTGTTGGAGGCTCACTTATGGATGCTTTTTAGGCACWCCTCAAACACACTGCTTCTTTATGTGACACTGTGGGAAAATCAAAAGAAAATCTGTCAAGATATCAAGAGGAGGACTGTTGACCTCAATCACTCTGCMTAATTCTGGCACTGGTAAGAAAGTGTTTCTATCCACAGTGAAACGAGTCCTGTACCAACCTGAGCTGAAATGCTAATCAACAAGTTTAAAGTTGTTACTTCAAAATAAACACAAAAAGCCAAACAAAAACCTTAATTTTGTGGAGACTTGACTTGTTATCTGTTGAAACTAAAACTGAACTGTTTGAACATAACGACCATTGGTACATTTGGAGGCAGAAGGGGGTTAGTCTAAAGGCTGGTTTATACACAAAAAAAAAGTTCCTCCGTGGACTTTTTACCCAACACAACACTRATTGTTGAGAGAAAAAACAAAACAAAACACAATATCCAGCCATCAGTATTGTTGTTTATATACTTATATGAGCTGTGGGAGGGCAGAGGGAGGAATTATGATAATTTATGGTCTGTCACATCTTCAGTCTGTTTATACTCAAGTCAGGAAAAAGACATCCAAAATAAAGCAATCACCAACCYGCTATGTCTCATGTCCTATTGAAGTACAACCCAAGCTTAAAAACACCATCCTAACTGTAGAGTATGGAGGTGGCAGAGGCATGTTTTGGGGGTGTCTTGCTGCAGGTGGGACTGGTACACTACACAAAAAAGATTTCACCATGAGAAAAGAACATTGTCACTGATGTCATGAGATGTTGCTTCACAATTTCAACATAAAGTTAAACTTGGGTGGAAATGGATAGTGACACTAACAATACCGTCAATTATTCCCTGAGACCCAATTCGGGCCACCTCTCTATGGGTCTTCTGATGGGAGTAAGAAAGTTAAGTGCCTAAGTAAGACCAGTTTTTTTTTTTCAATAAATATTGTGGTTTTGGAAGGCCAGTTAAGCTAAGCAGAAGCAGAAGTTTTAGTCATTTTGTTTTAGATTTTTCAGGGCCACACACAGGCACTGGCTAGGAGGCAGTTTTTAGATCTGAAAATAAACATTTAACTGAGAACTGAATTGGGTTTTCTGTGTATTATTGGAGGTTTCTTTCTGATTAGCAGGGAGGTTTTCCTCTCCACCGTTTGCTCAGGATGGGAGACTGTGATGAAGTGATTCAACACAATCTGCTGGTTTCTTCTTTAGATTGTTCTTTTTTATGTACAGTGCCCTGAGACTATGTATGTTGTGACTTGGCGCTATATAAATAAACTGAATTGAACTGAATTAAATTTTGAATACTTTCCTACAATAGTAAAACTGTCTCTTTAATTGTTTTATAAAGTACCTTTAATTTATCTTATATTATGACAAGAGATTAAAAGTGAGATCATCACACCCYCTAAAGTAACATGACAAGGATTTAAGACAGTCATGAAAGTAACTTGAATACAGTTCCAAGAGACTGGCGAGAAAGACTTAGACAACAGTCAATTTTCTTGTTCAAACGAACAGATCGAAGCTCAGCTTTTACAGTCTTAGCCATTCTGAGAAATGTCTTCCATTGCTGCCCTGATGAGAAGTGACTGGGGAATTCTTAGATTTATTAGCACTCTGTGAGCCAGTGTCATCAGAGATTACGCCCCCTATCCTTCACTTTTCCACCGGCATGTCAGCCACCGAATTTCAATTTCCCCAGCAAGAGGATGGGAAGGCTCTGKCTGACGACCTGTGCTTGTGACCCTGGAGTATCACGATGAATGGGAGGTGGAGGAGGGACAGATATGGGATGCTCATGAATTAGAGATGACTTCAGTGGTGCATTCAACTTTGGCCGTCCTGCCTGTATCACCATAGAGAATCTCCCTGATAAATGGCCATCAAGGAGAAGGAAGACTGCCCTTCTGGTTAGATATTCAGAGGAGCTTATGTTTGAATTCAACTCTTTTTCAAGTGATTCCATTTTCAAAGCATGCAGCACTTCCACTAGCACTTCAGAGTGAATGCACATCTACAATGAGTTTGGATGTTTCCCAAGATATTGTCACACAAGTAAAAAAATACAGAACACAGTATACAACATCAAATGGATGTTATTTTAAATATTATATTTATTAATAACATTTTTTTCATATACAAAGGATAAATTATAATGATATGGCATATTTTAGCTTGGTCAGGTTTCTGTTACTGAGCTGGTCAGATAAAGCAAACCTGAACTCTGATTCCGAAAGAAAGGGTCATTAGGAGTTCAGTCAATTTTTACAATAAAACAACATGTGTAGGCTCTGGAGCATACATCGTAATTACTGTGCATAGCAATAACTGGTGGCACCAGGATTTGAACTAAAGTGAATGACAGGCAGGGGCGTCCCTAGGTTTTAAGGACAAGGGGGGCTTAGCCCCTAGGAGACGCACAGAATTTTTATATATTTGGTATATTATATATTTATATTGTGAATATATATATACATACAGTACATGACCAAATGTTTGGACACAACTTCTCATTCAAAGGGTTTTCTTTATTTTCTTGACTATGAAAACTGTAGATTCACACTGAAGGCATCAAAACTATGAATTAACACGTGGAATTATATACTTAACAAAAAATAGTGAAACAACTGAAAATATGTCTTGTATTCTAGGTTCTTCAAAGTAGTCAACTTTTGCTTTGATTACTGCTTCGCATACTCTTGGCATTCTCTTGATGAGCTTCAAGAGGTAGTCACCTGAAATGGTTTTCACTTCAGAGGTGTGAAGTGAAAACATAACTGAAAATATATGCTTTCTCCTGAGACCCAGAAGAACCAATTTCAGATACTTGGAATGTAACTGTGGTGAAACAGATTAAGTGTAACAGCGGCCTGCCATACATGTGAGCTTCCTCATCCTGCTGAAATGATCTGCTGCGCTCACAGAGAAGAACTCGACTGTTTAGAAAGGTGGACTGCTAATCACCTCTAATCACAATGTTATTTCAGAAGGTGACATATTTCAGTATAAAATGGCTCTATGCATTAGGGATGTAACGATTCACTCATGCCCCGATTTGATTATCAATTTTAAGTTCACGGTTACGATTATTTACAATTTCTTTTTCAACCAAATGATTCATAGCCATTTTCTAAACAAATGTTTCTTTTGTAGCATCAGCATTTTTATCCTTGTATCAAACTGACACTGTCTGTTGTCTTAGAAACAAAACATAACTTGAAATAAATAAAAGTCATCACAAATTCTTACATGACCAAAAGTTATATTGAAAGACATAAAACTGACATTAGAGCAAATTGTTTAGATATTTCTACTAATTTTAGTCACAATCTTATATATATGAGTGGACCATGAAAGTTGATCAATTACTATTCCCAGCAGTTTGGCCTCTTTAACTTGGTTGTTTATTTACATAAATATCTAACACTTGAGTTAGTGTAACAGAATGTTTAGAGACCACTACCATACACTTTGTATTTGACAGACTTTTAACTTGTTCTCTTTCACATGTCCATAAACTCAATAAGCATTAGGAAATGTAATTTTAGATTGAACATATATCAGAGTCTTACATATAAGAACCTATAAAGAGATATGAAAGACATTCTAAGCACAAGTTTGACAAAGTCACCAAACTGCCATTGTACTTTTTAGTATTAAATATGTACTTACCATCCATTCTGATATGATGATGTCAACTTTCTCTACAGGGAGTTTTATGTCCTCAATACGGCCTTTGATCAAAATGATAAYGTCCTCCAGATGATTGGACCTGTGAGAGAAATAATAAAATGTAAAAACTTGTCTTTAAGCACTAAATTTTATAAACAAGTTGTCAAGGAACGAGCAATGACAAAATACAGTGCCCTCAAATACTAACAGAACAGAAAAGGCAATTCTTCTGTTTTTGCTGTCCATTTGAAAACATTAAAAATCAAAGTGAGACTAGAGATCAGAATTTCAATTTTATCTCCAGATGTATATCAACAGCTGTTCCACAGTTTCAAAGATWGTCTTGTTTGAGAAAGAATCCTACATTTCAGGTGAGCACAAGTTTAAYAAAAGTTACACTTAACACACAGATTAGGTTATTTTTGCAATAACTAAATAGAGTCTAGAAAACAATGACATGGTCAAACAGTTGAATAATTCAAGATTTTTTTTTCTTTTTCTTTCTACTTTGTCTCCCAATAAACTCATTTTAGTTTGAATTTTAGATAATTTACTAGCAAAATAATGAATAATACCCAAATCAGTTGGCTTGTGTTTTAATTTAAACTGAAAGACAACATATTTCCATAGCTTTCTGTATTCATTTTACAGCTACTGTCATGTCTTGTATCATCAATAAAAATGAATGAGCCACTTCCAGAAGGCGATGCCATGTCATCACCATCATGACTCAGATGGGCTTCTCTGTTTCTCTACACATTAGCCTTTTCWTTACTTTGTTAAAACTAAATCCATTCAACGGTGTCTTAAAACATATGAGCCATTTCTATTTACCTTTTAACCAGTTCCAGTTTTACCTTTATAGTAGGGCTGCACGATATCAGGAAAACCTGCGATGTGCGATAACAGTGCTTAATATTGCAATGACGATATGACTTGAGATAAATGAACAAATATCTGAACTGGTGTCACTTTGGTACTTATGTCCCAAATGTCTTCAGTTAAAGTTATTTGTGGGAGCTGAAAGTTGTTTTGTCCATCACCGATTTCTGATGTTTTCCTGGCGGCACCTGTTTTTCTGACCAGCATAAGGGCCACAGTGGTAGGAAGAGAACAAGTTGTTCTGGGTAACGGTTCCCACACTTTACAGCTCCTGTCATGCACAATATAAATGGCAGATATGTATTTGAGACATAGGCTGTGTCCAAAACGGCAGGACGRGTCCTCCGAAGGTCGAATTCGTCGGCCGCATACGTCACAGCGCCGCGACGAAGGACGTCCAAAACGGAAGACTCCTCCGATGCGTCCGACAAATACGTCCTTCTTTTCCCCCGAATCGAAGGACAGGTCTGATGGAGCCTTCCCTGCCCAGCATATTCCATAATGCAATGCGGCCCGACCGGAGATTTTTTTAAGCTAGTAATGGCGGACGAAGCGAGAGAAAAGAACACGTTTTAAATAAAAATATGGTGATATAATAATTTAAAAAAATTAGCGGTTGTAATTCTAATACTTTTATCATTTGTATGGACATGTTTTTAAATATTATTTTTTCGTCATAAAAAACGCGAAATAAACATGAACCTACAGCGGGTCAATTAGTTCTTCAAATGATACTTTTAAGTTAATTTTATAGTTTTGTGATATTAATAATGCTAATGAATTGATATTTTTCTAGGTTTGATTTAAGTTTGCTTGTTTAGCGTCGTCACAGTTGCTAGGTGACATGACGTATGCTGGGGTAAGGAGGGGAGGCTAGACCGTCCAAATCCACAGCCTCTTTTTTTCCGGTCTTCCCGGTCTACCAAGGACCCGGCCCRCCGAGACCGGGGAGTCTGGGTCCTCCGGAGGACCCGGCCTGTCGTTTTGGACAGAGCTATATAAAATGTGGAGTATATTATAATATAATTATATATTATATTAAGACAATTTACCATTGGATCAATAAAAAAACAATTTAGCTTAATAGTTATTATACTACTTTTATCCATTTGTAACTATTCTAACAATTACAGTGAAAATATCCAATAATTTACCACTTACCATATTTGCCATATTTCAGAAAAAATTGGAAAACCAGTAAGAGTTGCTAATGCTTAGGAGCAGTTTAATTACTATTAGCAAAAATAAATAAATAAATAAAAAWAAAAAAGAATTTTTCAGCATTCTGGCCTTTTAAACGTTGCAGTCAACATAATAGCTTGATTACCGAGAGGCAAACTGACAAAGACTAAAATAAAAAGAACCCCCCACCCCCAGCTTACCATCTTGAACCAAGATTTGATTGATATATTGGCCAATACATCAATCAAACCACTGTTGTCAATTTTCCCATTAAACTCTTTGTTAAAGAACAAGTTGTGCAAAAGTACCGTAACACTGAACAGTTGGGACAGGTGCATTCGAAAGTTTAGAAATGGGCAAATTAAGTTCACCTTTAAAGTTTATAATGCATTTTAGGTTCATCCTAAAATTTTATTCACAAGACAAATATTCATAAGTTTTTATGAGCAGTGTACTATCAATTAGATAAACAGACAATAGGTAGACACTAACTCACTGAGCAAAACAAAACAAAAATAATAATAATAATAATTTGTCTGTTTAAGATTGATGCCTTTTTTTAGGAAACTCATTTTATGATCTTTGCATGATCATAAAATGGTGCATATACAGTCTAACAACAATGTTCATTTTTTGAGACACTCTGTACAAAAGCCCTTTCACGTTACAGTTTCAAGATAAAACCACAAGATGAGCCCCTTTTTTTCCACTGCTTTTGGTTATCCACACAGGATCCAATCATGGCGGCCAAATCTTGTGACGCAAAGTTTTACATTTCACAGAACCAGAAGAGCGACAGCAGCACCTTACGTCAGAGGTTTTAGCTGCAGAMACAAATCCCAAGGAGATTTAAATATTAAAAATGTCCATACTTTTGCTCAATTTCTAAACTTTTCAACATTTCAAAAGCAGCATTTTTACTGCTGCATATTAATCCAGTCTTTTCAGACTGGAGCAGGGATTTAAAAAGGACAAAAGTCTAACTTTGAACTTTTAATACATCCAGTTCAGGTAAAGACTGTAAAATCCAAACTGCTGTTTAAATGATCCCCACTTTCAGACTAGCCAGTTTAAGTATCAATCTCTGTGAATATTCCATTATCATGACAGCTAATGTTACAGAGGACAGAACAATTACTCACAGCGGCCCAGAGAGCATTTCTGTAGCAGTGATCCTTATCTTAAACTGTCTCTCCTCTCTCAGCTGCTCCGCTATCACCTCCTCCCAGAATTCAACACCGCCACCCCCACCTCTTCACACATAACACCCCCCCACCCCTCACCCCTACCTTTCACCACAAGAAAACACTGTAATCTCATTATTGGGGTAATTTAGAGGACAATGCCAGGGCTCTGGGGAGAGAGTGTTTGTGCAGCTTGGTGGGAGAGAGAAACGGATGTTTACAAATAATTGATTTCTAATGTAAAATGTCCACCTTGTCATACAAATTAGCTTTTATATTTTACATTACAACATGCATACAAACCAAAATGTGTAGAAGTCAACATTTATATAATAAAACATTTAATTTTAACCAAAACAAATGAAAAATGATCAATTTCCCTCATCCAGTTGGTGTTAATGCCTGGTATAATGCAGAGTAGAAATACATCCAGATTTATGAATAAATCCCTACATCATTACAGATTAAATATCACTGATGTAATAAAAATATATATTGTGCTGTTCTTCACAGCTTTGTTGTCACACAGCCAAGTTTTCCCCTCTGGTAATTTATCAATTTTGACAATTTTTTAAAAGTCTTAGACATTTTTTCATTAGAAAAGTGACTGAAGGAGAGAAGTCGCGTCGAGCTTTTCATTTCAGATCAGCAGACAGAGCAAAGACAGGAGATGGATGCTCCTGCCCAGCCAATGGGAGTTACTTTAATTACAATCCTCATATTAACATCAAGAGGAAGTGATGCACACACGGACCATTATCACACACATACACATTCACAACATAACTTTAAAGTTATACACCATGCCATTATTGAATATTAAAGGGGACCAAATGCTGTATTTTTGTGCTTCAGTATATATGTGTATACAAGTGTGTAAAAGGGTGCGCTGAGAGGGAATTATAGCGTCTTTCTTTAGCTGAATCTTCGCTGTTATGTAGCCTGCATACGGGCACACACTACAACAGCAAGTCAGTGGTCTGTAAAATTAAAACATCCTTTTCTTTCAGCAAACCCCGTTGTTTTGCTTATATGACAGTCTCTTACATAACGGTAATAATAGCAGTCATAATGGCCCCTAACTCAAAAATGCATAATGGTGGGTGCAGGTAGTCGTAGGGGGAGCAGAAGCTCTGGTGGAGGTAAATGGACTCCATTGGTGAGAAGCAGCTGCTGGAAAACTAGAAACACATTGAACCAGAAATTGGACCAAGAACTATTTTACAAAGGATAATAAAGAAAGGTGGTGGTGGTGGTGGTGGGGGGATCATCTACATTCTGCTCATTTGAGTGGACATGATGTGGGCTTAGGACTGTAGGTACTGCAGGAGCGAGGGGCAAACAAGACGAAGTGCAGGTGTAAATAATATACATTATGGCTATGCGACTGACAGCAGCTCTATAAGATGTCAACCAGCTGCAAATAATAAAAGGTAGATGGAGGTCACACAAACCTCTACCTCTACATTTCAAAGAGGAGGGAAAAAAACTGTCCACTCTCTGAGATCCCAAAAGATAAAAATGATATGAATGTTGATTTTGAGCTTCTGCATCATCCCAAAGGGTATTCTGTTTACTTTAAATCCATTTACTTTATGTACAGCATGCCTTACCTGACTATGTCCATTGCCTGATAGATTATTTCTGATTGGTCCACTGCAATCACCATTTTGGCCCCGGCTTTGGCTGCAAACATGGAAAGTATGCCTGTTCCACAGCCCACATCCAGAACCACCTGCAGGACAGGAAGAGGAGGGGACAAATGCAGGTGGAAATCTGAATGCAGAGAGTTTACACCAATCTCACTCGGAATTAGACTATTTCTAATGAGAAACACTAATTTAACTCAAATACGAAAGGCATGGAGTTAATAGTGTTACTTTAGGCGTAGATCACTTTTTGAGAATAATACTAAACTCTTCAGGAAGGGCTGTGAAACATGTTTCTATTATTTCCCTGCACATGGAATTACACCTCAGGGTTCATACAAAAGTGACAAATACTGTCTCATAATTCTCGTGACTACAGGTACATAAAAATAAAAAAGAAAAATGCTGGCTTTAGAGGAAACCTGCTACAGTTCTCCTTGTCAACATTATAAACTCGGTCTGCTCAACAGAGATTACTTTTACCCTTTGCCTTTAAAGAAAGGGGAGGAAAAAAGAGAAATGTTTGAAAAAAATGAGACTAAGATTATAAAAGCTTGTAGCTATTTTTCCCCCTTTCATTTCTGTGAACCTTATCATGTATCATAAACTGCTGCTGTAATTTCAAAGACCTTTTCAGCCCTGTTTTTTTTGTGTAAAAATAAGAAGCATAATGAATGAATGAATAAAGGAAAATAATCCAGTGTGACAGCAGTACACATGTACATTTCTTAACGACATAAAAACCTGGATGACTCTTAACTTTCTGCTTCTAAACTCAGATAAGACAGAGGTTATGGTTTTTGGACCTGAACATCTTAGGGATCAACTTCGCAACCTTTCACCTCCTCTGGATGGTATTAATCTGGCCTCCAGTTCTAATGTAAAGAACCAGGACCACCTTCTTCCACCTGCGTAATATCACTAAAATTAGAAACATTTTGTCCAGAAATGATGCAGAAAAACTGACTCGTGYTTATCACGTCTAGGCTGGACTACTGTAATTCTTTATTATCTTTATTTCAGTTATCATGCTCCTCTCTTGTGGAAMCAACTTCCAGTTTCTGTCCGTGAGGCTGACACTCTGTCTACTTTGAAGATTAGACTGAAGACTTTCCTTTTTCATAAATTCTATAGTTAGACTTAGGTTTCCTGAGCTATTCCTTAGTTCTGCTGCTATAGACTTAGACTGCTTGAGGACAAACTGATCACATTTCCTCACTCTGCTGTTGTCTAATAACATGTTTTCTTTGTCTCTCTTCCAGAAGAAAATACACCTGGATCAGTCTTTCTGTGATTCTCTGCGTCTCTTTCCTGTCCCCCAGCCAGCCGGTCGAGGCAGATGGACGCCTGTCCTGAGCCTGCTTCTGCTGGAGGTTTCTTCTTGTTAATAGGGAGTTTTTCCTCTCCACTGTCACCAACGTGCTGCTCAGGATGAGAGACTGTGATGAAGTGAAAATCCAACACAATCTGCTGGTTTCATTAGATTTATTGGTTTTTGTGTACAGTGCCCTGAGACAACGTTTGTTGTGACTTGGTCCTATATAAATGAACTGAATTTAATTGAAATGAATTGAATTACAGTAGAGTCAAAAATTAGCCCAGGACAAGCAAAAAATCTCAGTGATTTAAAGGTTAAAAGTGATTAATTAAGGAAGGAGCATGCAATCATATCAGGAGTTATTTCCTATTTCTGTCTGTAAGAGACACTAGACTAGAATACAGATTAAAAAAACAAGGTTCTTCTTGAAGGCCTTGTATGAATATTTAACCTGAATATAAACTACATAACTGGCTACATAACAGAAATATAAACTACTAGGGGTGGGAATCTTTTACTCTCTCAGGATTTGATTCAAAATCAATTTTCCCTTCAAAACTGATAATGTGAGCCCATTTGTCGTGTTCCCAAAATGCCTCATCTTCATTTTGCAAACCTTGCACACCTCACTCATGTCAAACTTAAACTCTTTCAGTAAAAAGCAAAACGAGCCCAAATCTTTGCATTCAATGAAGACAGGGCCAGTTGAATCTTTCTTTCCTCCAGTTTTGTAGTTTCCTCTTTGTTTTGGTGCTTTCTGCTGTTACACCTGAATTTCCCCTCTGTGGGACAATAAAGGCTGTTTCTATTCTATTTTATTCTATTCTATTCCATTCTATTCTATTCTATTCATTCATATTCCAGGTGCAGCTGTTACACCTGAATTTCCCCTCTGTGGGACAATAAAGGCTGTTTCTATTCTATTCTATTCTATTCTATTCCATTCTATTCTATTCTATTCATTCATATTCCAGGTGCAGCTGTGTGGTGGCGTCAGGACATCCCATGTTGTTACAGAATGGAGGCTGACAGCCATTGGATTTGCTTTATTTTTTTATTTATAAAAATCGATTTTGGAACATTTTAAATCGGTTCTTAATCTTTGTAAATGAGAATAAGGATTGTGATGCAAAATGATTTTTTGGTGCACAAACTACATAATTTGGGTTTTCCAGTTTCACCTGTTTTCATCTTGGAATTCCAAATATTCCATCCCTGCACACTTCTTCCAGCTAATGTTAAAGGACTAACAAAAGGTAGCTGTGACCTTATAACCATCTAAATGTAACCATTCCTTTAGTCGTGTCTCTATTTAAAGTAACCTGCAGTAATCCTCCAGCTGTCTGTGAGGTCACAAAGCGTCACCAACACACTGCTGACACAAACAACTCCTATCTTCCTTCTCTATCGGAGATGAGACCACTGCGTCTTTTTCTTTGTTACAGTTGAAAAAAAAGACACCTTCTCTGCCAACTGAGCCTACCTGACAGGGATAATGTACATTTTCATCAACACAAGCAACCGCCTCACTCCTCCACAGTCTCATTCCAGCACTAAACCAGTAACACGTAATGAAAGACCACAGCTTCCTGATGCAGTGGGAAAACAAGCAGCAAGGAGGGGGTGGGCTGGGGGTTGTAGTGATGGGGCAGGGTGTTATGAGTTTGATAGTAAATTGCAGGTCTGTTATCAGGACTCTGCAGTCAACACTTCAAGTGCTAATAGAGAGCTGCACAGTGTTTTAAATCAGACGCCTTCACCTTGTTAATGTCTTGTCAGGAAAATGCACACACCTATTCCTGTTTAATAGCTTTTTTGCTGTACCTTAAACTGGTTAAGTCACACGTGTAAACAAATTAAAGCGTGCACACATGATTGCATTGGTTGGAACTGGCTCACCTTGTCCCTGAACACTTCAGTGTTGCTGTACATGAAGTCCCGGTAACTCTCAGTYCGCACTTTATCCTGCACAGAAAACAACACATGCACATTAACCTCAAACCATTTTTTATACAGAGAACAGCAAATCAAAAAAACTGTGGGGCAATTTTCCTGGGAATTTTATAGCAAATTATAAAATAAATCCAACTAGAAGTAATTGTGATCTTCATCTAGTGTATGGAAAATCAGAACTCACAAATAAATTTATTGTATGGGAGATTTGTGTGATTATTTGTCTGTAGAATTTGCAAAATATCTGATGAACCAACGGATGGATTTGAATTAAATTCTCCGACAACAATTGCTTTATACATTTACAACTGATTACTTTGGAAGTCACCCCCATTAAAATGAATGCCACATCCGACTGAACTTAAGAAATACATTTAGCTCTAACATGCTGTCTTGAGCCAAGTTTTAAGAYAGAGATAGAAGACAGGTCTGCCTGGAGCAACCTCTACGATGGACCTGTCTCCCAGTCATTTATACTCTTTACAGATGGATCCCTCCTGAAGGTGTCAGTAGGTGCAGGGGTGCTGATTTTGCACAACCATAGTAAGAGAGAGTAGAAATACCCACTAGGTTGTTTTGTAACTGTATCTCAAGCTGAGATACAGTATATGCAATCCACCAGTGTGTGGCATCTCGCAAAGACCTTCAGTGTACACAGAAGGAAATATTCATCCTAACAGATAGCCAAGCTGCTATTAAAGCTCTCCGAGGGCCACACTTTACGTCATTACTGGCTTGGGAGTGTGCCGAAGCAGTCAACCAACTGGGGAGAGATAACAGTGTTACTGTTAAATGGGTACCAGGACATTCTGGCATTTATGGTAACGAAAGCCTGACTACCTCGCAAAAGCTGACAGTCAGGCCCACTTCAAAGGACCAGAGCCTGTTGTAGGTACCTCAACAACAGTCTGTAGGACTGCCCTACAGGCCTGGATTAGATGTCAACACTCAATCTACTGGAGGGAGCTGACGGACTGTAGACAGGCACGGGAACTGATTRACGGCCCAAATCTAAGGTTTGGGAAAGCTCTCATCTCCCTGTCAAGGAAAACTAAGTACACTGGTTGGATTCCTAACTGGGCACAATCTCCTCAACCGCCACAAAATGGTGATGGGACTCCACGACGATGGTCTGTGTGATGCCTGTGGCATTGAATTAGAGACCTATTTGCACTACAGTACTTAGACCACTGCCTGGCTCTGAGTAGTCAAAGGAAAATAATTCTTGGAGACACATTTATGGATCCTGAGAAGCTCAGAACACTGTTTCCAACCTTGTGTCCTTCATCAGAGGGATGAGAAGGTTCGAATAAAGACCAGTGTCTTTTTGGGGAGAGCAATGGACCCACTTATGAGGCCTCCGCTCATATGGATTTTATATCCATCCCCACCAACCATAACCACAACCATAGCTCTAACCTAGCCTGGTAAAAACCAGACCCTTGTCCTACGCTTTGCTTCGTACAGAGGGTCTGGAAACTCTGCTAATGAGAAGCGATTGCTTGGAGGCGTGGACTCTGTTGAAGTTTAAAACGACTGGATATGATTTACCCAATTGCTAATGTTTGGTCGTGACATACGAAGTGCGCCAGCTCGACTGTGAAAGAAGCTAAGCTAAGAAGTTAACCAGAAATTGCGTGTGCTGTAAACAACCATCCTCTATGGGGAAGAGAGAAGTGCCGAGCTGAAMGAGGAGTGTTGCAGGCTTTGGAAGACAAATTTAATCTAATTTAGAAGTCTGGTCAACACATGGCTTTATTCACTTTCTCCGCTACCATTGCTGAACAACAGAATAAAACGGAACAGAAAATCGATGTCGTCGTTCACAACTCCTCCTCKTGTTCGCTAATGGGATTGGCTGAAATTCTACAGGAGAAATCATTGTCTTCGGGAGAAATCCATGATGGAGCAATGAAGGGAACTAGAATTGAGCAGAACTGTGTAGCAAGGCAAGGGCCAGGTTAGCGCTAACTCAGCTCAAGTTGCTAAAATTTGGTGTGTTCATAGCCAGGAGTTAATACCAGCACATACACTGAGCCATAATCACACACAATCTTTTTCTTAAACTTTGTCATTAACCGCTAGTCACCTGTGTATGCCTGTTAAAAAAATATTTCATGAACCATTCGACACATTTTAATGAAACTCCCAGAAAATGATCAATTGGTGAAACKGATTGACTTTTGGAGTATGCCGGMGACTATTTCTCTTAAAAAATGGTTACTACTCAGACAAATTTACATATACTTCCCTAAACTTTAGTGTCTTATTAGCTCAGAGTAATTTCAACATGTTTATAGATACTAATGCTCATCTATAAACGCAGGCCCAAATACATTTATAACTACTGCTTGTATTCAAGGTTGGTGTTTAACTCTGGTGTTTTGGTCCTTTACACCTGCATTTGTTGATTTTTATTATGCAAACTTCTTTCCAAATTAGTTTTATTTGTACTTTTAGAGCATWGATACAGTATAACATTAGTAGATATGAACAGTGATTAGACTAAGTTTATTTCAACAAACCAAATGTAGGCATGAACATAACTAGACTGAGCAAAACTGAGCATGTGCATTAGTAGCTGTTCCCTCTCCTCTCACAGTCATATAGGATCAACATAAAGTTATTTAAAATATTTTACAAGACATAAGTCTCCTTCCCTTTTCAGCATAAGATGATTTTGTCTAAATCTGTGGAATTAAAGATAGTGGGCAATATTCCTTCAAAGAATGCCAGGCTTTTAAATTTGTAGCATTAGCAAGGATGCAAATAATGCAATTCATTCATTTTTATTAAGAATATGAAAACACAAATTGTGGCTTACAATTTATTTGGTTTAAAAAAGGACAATTTAACAGCTGAACATTATTTATTGTACAGAAACCCATCAAGAGCATATTACTTCAAGAGAAACCTGACAAGATTTAACAGTTCGGTCAAGGCAAAACTGGGTAAACTAAAAAAAAAAAAGGAAGAAGTAGTAGTAATCTCTCTCACTGCGTCACCGGTGATGCAGTTGACTCCGACCAAAGAAAGACTTGACCGTGCTTTAGCGCAAAGTCGTCGTCACCTGCTCTCAGCTCTCCGGGAAGCTCTATGAAGTTTTCCGACTGACGCATGCTCAACGCAAAACTTAACGGCGCTTAGCACCAATCAGGATTATGTCTGAGCACTGCAGTAAGTAGAAAAGTGCAGAGGAGAGAAAGTGAGCCAACCTCCCCCCCACCTCAGTGTGCGCTGACACTTTCAGGTTTCAGTGCTTAAAGGTGTGTAAAAATTAATTTCCATGTTCTGCGGAAAGAGCAATGTTTCACATGAGAGCTCAGGACTTATTGCTGATTTGTCACTTTTGAGGAGCTGTCTTGTGCTCATTATGAATTTGTGTATAAAGATAATGATTTTCCTTTACATGCTACAATGAGATTCAACCAAGGTGCACACTGATAAGCTCAACCTCACTTTGAATATGTATTTATTTATTTATTTATTTAAAGGCAATGTCTCATAAGACTAATGAGAGCCGCAGCACTGGTCAGCGTGAGGTCATATGTGTGTGTTTTGTGCGACTCAGACCTTCAGCATCTCCTCGTGGATGCTATAATGGCCGTAAGAACTGAAGTAGGCCTCGTCCTCGTCCTCCCGGAGCTCAGCCACAGAGCCCAGGTTTCCAGATTTACTGGTTTCTGCATTCAGCACCAAATCCTGAGCCAGGAGCCTGAGAGAAAAGCAGACAGATCTGCAATTAACTTCCGCACATCCTGACATGGGACAAAAGCAGTGACCAGAAAGGGGAAAGCAGACACCGCTCTCATGCAGGACAAAGCAGTAAATGGAGGAGATGGGAGGCATTCATCTTTCTAACTCTCCTTCACATCCACCCCCCCATCTGCACTCTTTCTGTAATTTTCCCCTTTTCTCTTCCTACCTCCCATCCTCACTTTAGCCTCTCTGCTGCAGTGGAATTTTCCCTCCCCCTCCTCATTTTTTATGTTTCCTCTTCCCTTCAAACTTCTTCCATAAGGTAGCCGAGTTAATGTTTCCGTGATACAGAGATCACTGTGTCCCCCTGCTGGTCAACAGAGAGCACTGTCGAAGCAACACGCCAACATAGCAACAAAGCAAGGGCTGGGAAGCTTCAGAAAAGAAAATCACCACATCCTATACAAAGCAAGGGCTGGAAAGCTTCAGAAAAGAAAATCACCACATCCTAAACAAAATATTAAATGGACAGAAAAATAAAAATACAGACTTAAGCTTGTGTAGATCCTCCATGGCTCGGACCAGTGCCTGCTCTGCAGAAAGAACCCTCTCCTCAGTAGTTTGCGCCGACCGCAGCAGAGCGCCGTCAGACTGGGCCATGGACAACGGTTCCCCACTGTCACAGAGCTCCTCAGGGTCTGACAAAAAACAGAGGGTGGAGAGCTACAAGTACTTAGATGTATTTAAATCTCAAATAGCTGCTGTATTGATTTTTAGGCCAGTGATCATCAAATTTCTATGTACATCCAGATGTTTTAAAGAGCCAATAAAAGAAGTTATTATATCTGCAAATTATCCTGCTTTTCTGTAAAACAATAAAAATGATAGTAATCGGGGCTGTGATATGTACAGATCTTTTCTTGCTTTCATGTGCAGATCTGAAGTGAAATATATTAACTATGTCAAGAAGAGTCACATATGTGGAACAAATTTAAACGTAAAGAAAAGTCTACGTTTTGATAGTTTGGATACAGTTGAATGCAAGTGCAAAAGTTAGCCTCTACAGTGTGCAAACACTAAGAATAGAAATCAGAGGATGAAACTAATAACAGTACTTGGGTTGTGGAAACAAAGTTGCCTTTTTTGATATTAATATTCATATTAGTTGCTAAGGCTCAGCTCTGAATGACCACAGTAAAGAATAAAACGTGTTACAGTAAATAATACATCCTGTAAGCTAAAAATTTGTATAACTAAATGGGATTCAGTTCGCATTTATTTCAAACTTGATTAGGTTATCCTGATAAAGTTTAAAAAAAGTGTTTGATGATGTAATCTGTACTGTCCCAATGGCTACGTACCATTTATGTTTACTTGAAGTGCAGAAAATATATTTTGTTTCTTATGGCTGCATATTATATTTGTTACTTGATTTATTTGGAGTCTAAATAAATCAAGTATAAAACAATATAGTAAGCAGACTCTGACTATTAGACAATAGTCAAAGTCTGCTTACTATATAGTTCACATGTTTTGGTCACATAAATCACAGACATTTGAGTTAACAGTTAACATTTCTAAAATGTTTGAAACAAAATGACTACTTTTATACCTTTTTGAATATGAAAATCTTCAGACATGTTTGGTTTGAGACAATAAAACATTTTCGTAAAACAGTTTTTGAAAATCTGCATGTTTTCATTTCAACCTTACAAAGGTAAATATGGTGATTAATCATGATTAATTACAGCCCTAGTGTGTGATTAACTTGATTAAATTTTTTAAAATCGGTTGACAACCCAATTATTAATACATATATTTATACATATTTTTTCCTCTTTTTTATTTAAAGTTCTTCATTCCCCCTGGCAGCATTGTTATTTTTTGTATCATGTTTGAATGTTCAAAAAAGGTTTATTTAAAAAAACGGTCGCTGTTTTGGCAGCAATGAATTGTGGGTAATACACTTCACCGAAGTCCGTAAAAATGCAGACTTCGCGGAAGGGTGGAAATAGTACCCAWAATGGGCGGGGCGAAGGGCGGATGTGGAGAATGTGGAACACACTACGCACTCAAATCCTTCAACATGAACGTGCATTTGAAGTGCACAAGGGCGGAACGAGGGTGGGAGTGTGGGTATTGGGACAGGGCCTAACTGTGGCTCAAACATTAGCATGAGTAAACGTTAGCGCCATGCACTGATGGCTGAATGTGAGTGGATTAGACCGACACCCGCTGCCTTCTAAGCTGAGGTAAGGTCGCTAACAGTCCCTTAAAGCCAGAATGTCCAACACACAAACTCTGTGCAGCAGCTTCATGTCATCCGTTCACTAAACACTGACAATATACAGGCTATTGTTAGTGTGTTGGGTGACCATATTTTTTATTATAAATTAATACAAAAATGCTGCCACAAATATATTATCAAACTAGTTAAAGGCACATTTGGCCTAACCATTGAAAACATAGATGAAATAAGAAATATGAAACAAATAAAATCCATATAAAAACATACAGATTTTTTTTAAATAGAATTTTTGGGACAAAATTTGGCCTGGCTAACAGTATTGCAACTCCTATGTATCGTTTTGCCAAATTCTTGCCAATAAACAGCCCTATTGACAAGAATATATGAAAACCTGTTTTACAATATCTAAAAAAAACTAATCAAATTAAATTTTATGATTATATTTAAAAGATTTCATATGTTAGATTGAGTTACTGCCATTTAAACACAAACATTTTCTGTGAAGTTGGARTATGTTTGTATTTCTCTTACAGAGCTGATGACGTTCTCACAGCAGCAATATAAAAGCTCAACTCTGAAGCAGTACCTGTTTGCAGCAGTGGGTCGTCCTGAAGCACCGGYCGCAGGAAATCCTCACTCTCCCAGGGTAAAGGACCGTCAGGCAGCCCCAGCAGGCACGATGGGCTACATTTCTAAATATGCAAACAGATTTATTCTTTCCACTGTAGAAGATAAAAATTGTACTAAAAATTATTAGCATTTATAAAGAACATAAATCTTTTTAACAGCAATAAGCAAACTTGAATTTTGAGACTTAAAGTCTTTGATTTAAACTTACGGTTGATCTGATGAAGTTGATCATTTTTATGTAGCCATAGTCATCTAAACCTATAGAGAAAAAGAAAGATGCACAAACTCAGATAGAAACAAACTGTCTGCTGTGGTCAGCTGTGAGACAATCAGTGAGCACTTACTGTGCTTCTTTATTACGTTTACAATGTTGAGCTGGTGCTCAGCTGTGCAGTGCTGCAGGATGGCAGTTACAGAGTTTAATGTCCTAGACAAGAGGAAGGAAAACATGTTTATTTACTAAATCTAAAATTAGACAAAGCAGAGAGTTCCGATTTGTTTGACAGAAATTATTCAAACTAGTAAAGTAAGCAGTAATTTACATCCACAACTGAATTCTGACACACTGTATATTAGACGCAGCTAAAATGGGGGGGAACAAAGTGAGTTTTAAGTTAAGATTTTCCTAAAAATACAATTTTACAGACTTCAGGTTTGAATTCAGAAGCATTAATGAAAAATAGCTGGCTTGGTTRAACCAGACTGACAGCTCAACGTCCGTAGGGTTGGGAAAAATCGCACTGTGTGAAATTAATGTCAGAAAAACTTTCATCAATTAATATTTGCCACATTGCAATTACTGCAATTAGTGCCATATAATGATGACATGTTTTTGTGTACGACACTATCAGGTGCGCATGAGTCCACTGGTGAAACTAATGCTAATCCTACGAACTTGTTTAATCACCTGAAAAACAGTAAGAGGAAAGTCAGAAAAGGATAACACAATTATTTTTCATAAACTGTTATGCCAATTTTGCCCAACCCTACTAGAAACACAAAAAGATTATCAGAGAGATCTTAATTTGAATTTACGTTAAGTGTCACAGGTGCTGCCTTTTAACTCATCAACAAGGTAATTTTGTTAATGATGAGCTCCTGTACAATTTTCATCAGGACTATTTTAAGCAATAAAAAAACACAAGACTTAATTTAGAAGTAAAGAACTTGTCCTTTAAAACAATGAATACATAAGACTATGTGTTATAAATAATAGATATTATAGCATTATTATACACATTGTTCATATGTTTAACACTTTTAAACCTTCTAAAATGTTTCCAAAATGCCTATAAATGTTGAGGACTTTAAAGTTTTGAATGTTGAGCACAGCTAGAAGAAAAATCCCCGCCGGGATCTTACCTGTCACAGAACAGACAGGTAACTGATTGAGTGTCCTCCTCCATCCACTGCTCATCATCATCATCATCATCTGCCACATCGTCATCTCCGTCAGAAAGCGCAGGCATCCGTTCATCAGCTTCATCACCGTCTGGCAAAGTCAAACGCTCTTAAAGTTTCATGCATGAGGCACGAAGAAACACCAGGTTTACCAGCGGAACGTTATTTTTCATAACACTAGCGGCACTAACACTGGAGAAGCTAGCAGTGCTGCTGCAGGGTCGTTTTAATGCAATTAAACAAAAACTTTTCTTGACCAAATGCACATCAATAAAGATGTTAAGACACAATAGGTGTTTATACATTCCAAAGCCACAGTTTTAAAGGTTTTGTTTGTTGTTTCGACACTCACGTGGGTTTGTGTTTTCTGCCATGCCGCCGCCTTGGTTGCAGAAGACTTCCTGTTTACGCTGGGTGACGTAAAGACGGTGAGTGGGGTTGCACTTCTAGAGTTTTACCGCTAGGTGTCGTTAAAACGCTTTTCATGACATTCGCTCATGTACAAGTTCATAGTAATGCCACACACATTACGTGCTGGAAACTCTCAGGATCAGTTATTTTGT